GCAAAACTCTTTTAGGGCTGCCTGTAAATTCATGCCACTCCCCCATAAACCTCTACCTGAAGGCATCCAGCTCTAGTTTTATATGTCAGCCAACCCAGCTCTGCAAATGTATTGCCCAGAGGCACCCCACTCCACCAGCCTGAAAGCACCGAGCTTCACTCGCTGAGGGCTGGGAGGTCCACCACTCTGTCTCGTGCTCCGGCTCCTGCTTCTCCTGTTTCTGGGCCTCTTCTCCTCCTCTAGTATTAAGGCTGTGTTCAGGGGTCTCAGGGTCCAAAGGACACATTCCACGCTTGGCTCTTCTCACTTACTGGTAACAAAACTCCCACCCCTGCTTCCGAGGGGGCTCATTCTATACCCGCAGGATGACAATCACGGTGAACTCTGTTAACACCCATTCACAGTCCAATCATCTAATTCAATCTGCATCTTCCCCCACCTTCTTAACCAGCACCATCAGGAAAATGAAGGTCGTTTGGTGGGAGTAACAAGGCTATGTCTGTAAGAACCAAATTAAATAATTGGCCATTGTGTTAAGGAGAAAAAGAATAGGAAATACAAAACCAGAATATCTATCCCAGCTGTCTGAGTGAGTTGTGTAACGATTATTAGAACAAGAGAATAACTGGACAAATTCAAGAACTACCGCCAGAGAAAGGGAAGAATTGGGCGAGTGATCAATCTGAGTAGTTAAAAAAGGAACGCCCCCGCCAGGGGCACCTTGTAGTCAGGGGATGCTCACTTTGAGTTCATTAGTCTTAGAACGCATCAGAGAAAGCAGCATTCATTTTGGTTATTCGTCCTTTGGAATTAATATGCAGACTTCATGTTTTGGGATTATCTGGAAATGTAGTGCCTTACTTAACAATCTAAGCCTTCTATTTCTGTCCTACATTTAAAATTGAGGAAGCTCCTAGAAATAGTGATCTATGACTAGATCACAGAAATATATGATGTGGAACTTAGGTCACTTAAGCTATCATACTTGAAGTTCAGTCAATTCTAACACACGCACATCCATATCTATCTATCTATACATATATATCATATGTATTCATACATGTACATGTGTGCACACACAAGCATATGCACATATTTTAAAAAATCCCAACTCACTGTCAGCAAGTTGAATCTGACTCATAGCGACTATTTAGAGGATTTCTCAGGTTCTGGAAATTTTTGTGAAAACAGACAGCCTCTTCTTTCTCTCACGGAGTAGTTGGTGGATTTGAATCACTGATCTCATGTTTAGCAACTCAACACTTACCCAACGGAGCCATCAGAACGTTTTCTCTCTGTAGATAGATAGTTACATGGATCTAGATGGAGATGGATAGAGATAGCGATATATCATGGTCATGAAGTCCTCTGCTCCTTATGAAGTATATGTCTGTATTTTGCTAGAAATCCAAGCAGTAACTCTTTCTCTGTTCATGTGATAGTCCTGCAGGAAAGGCTCTCTCCCGCTAAACCAGGAAGACAAGTATTATTGATCCCCAAAGAACCCCACTAATCAATAAACCATTTTGTCCTGCAGAGACTTGAAGCGGTCACAGCATCCACAGTGGGTCAGATAACCATTCCCGGTTAGCTGGCACTATCCTAGTACTTGGAATGTGCTTGTCCTCCGGGGTGTAGACAGGTCAACGATGCGCAGGTGTCTGATTTCTAAAAACTGTAGCCAATGGGACGTTCAGAACAGAGGATCCCCTTGGCTCTGTGGCTTTCTGACATGCGTGAGGACCAGCAAGTCAGGAGTTTCCACAAACGAAAATGCCAGGATGCAGCTGCCACAAATCCTCTCCTCCAGTTGAAAGGTTCAATGATGTAACTCATTCGATCGAAGGGGAAGTTCTGGCCTGTTGGTCTTTTGTAGGTCAAATAGGTTGTGGGTCACATGTTGACTATAGCGACATGGTCATTGGTGGGGTGGGACACTACGGGGGATAACAAGCTTCCTTCTTTTCCTGATCGATACACTGGCCTCAGTTCTTACTAAGAACCTCAATCTTCCCTGCCAGACTCTGCTGCTTCTAACACAAACACGCAATACAATTCCCAGATGCCACCGTGGCTGATGTTGATGCACTGTTAGGTGCTACGGAATCTGTTCCAACCCAGAGAGACTGTGTGCGCAACCAAAGGAGACCTCCCAATCCTGCGCCATCCTCACAATTGCTCCTGTGCTTGAGCCCATCGTTGGAGCCACAGTGTCCATCTCCATCTCTGAGGGCCTTCCTCTTCTTCACTACGCCCCCTCCGCTCTACTGAGCATGACGTCCTGCTCCAAAGATCGGTCTCTCTGGACAAGGTGTCCAGTACATGAGACAAAATCTTGCCATCCTGGCCTCGAAGGAGCACTCTGGCCACACTTCTTCAGAGACAGATTTGCTTTAAGCTCCCTCATACTTACTTCAGAAATATTCCATGTCATCTTTTAATAAATATTTTTCATGTAAAAACAGAATTCTCCTAGAAACCATATATTGCCATGTGTAAAAATGTAGATTTTCTGATATGCACTAGGATTTGTATAATGGCACGAAAAAGAAAGTGCATCTGTTAAAATGTTTCTAACCCTCAAATTTAAGTCGAGGCTTTTTATCACTTGTTTTTTTAGCTCTTTGTGATGGGAATTTTTAAAGCACCTTCAGATGCAGAATGGTACAATTAACCAAGTATTAAACAAGCAGCTTCAAAGATAAGCAGAGCTCATGACCAGTTGATTTTATGTTGTCCCCCTAACTCCCCCTTCCTCCCCCAGCTTTTAAGCACATCTCATTAAAAAAATTGAGTTTATATCTGTAAATGGCAAGGACCTTAAAAATTATAATAACTGGAGTATTATTATTACACTCAAGAGTAACAGTGATTAAATCCATTTTTTTATCTCAAAAGATCAGATTGAAGTCCCAAATTGCTAGGACAGTTAGACTGAAAGAAATTAATTCATGATAGTGACTTGTCTCTGTATACGTTGTAGCGAACATAACAGAGAGGCAGATTCTTTTCTTTTTTTTTTGAGGCAGATTCTTATAGAGGAAGTCAAAGTCATGCTTCATATTATATCCATTCTAGGAACAATATGTCCTGGTTGTATAGTGAATGCAGTTTGAAATAGTTTGCCTTTTATGTAAATTAATACTTCCACATAAAATATCACCTCGAAGGGTTTCTAAGGGTTCCTGGTGGCTACGAGGTGGGTTGTGAACTGCCAGGTCAGCTGCTCTCCAGGAGAAAGATGGGGCTTGCTACTCTTGTCAATGGTTGTCGTTTCAGAAACTCAAAGGCCAGTTCTCTCCTGTCCTATAGGGTCGCTGTGAGTGGGCACGGACCTCATGCCTGCGAGTTCGGAGAAAGAGTTGCTGTCTTGGAAACACACGGGGCCGTCCATTCTCCCCCGTCCTGTAGGGTTGCTATGAGTCAGCAGAAGCCTTTGGCAATGACTGGTTTGGAGAGGAGTTTCGGTAGTGGTTGGTGATAACAAGAATGCTCCTCTCTGCTTTGACGGGTGCAATAACATACACTGACTTCACTGGTATGGAGGAGTGTGTGTTTCCCCTGATCTTTAACTTGCACTTGTTGTTGTTATTGTTGCTGCTATTGTTGTTGTGTGCTGCCAGGTGCACCTTGACTTAGAGGGACCCATGTGACTGCGTAGAACTGCCCTCATAGGGCGTCTTTTGCTGGCACCGTCACAGAAACCGACCGGCAAGTCTTTCTCCCCAGGGTCGCTGGTGGGTTTGAACCACCAACCTTTGGGATAGAAGCCAAACACTTAATCATTGTGCCACCACAGCTCTTTAAGCAATTATTTGGACCATAAGACATAGCACGATTACTTACAGACAGAATTTCGAGTTGGAATCAACTTCAGAATGTGATGGGCCGCTCACGCTGACATCATGACTTCTGGCAAGAATCGGTTTCTAAAATACAGGCTGAAAGCAGCCATTGAGCAAAGGTCACCGGCCACACCGACCGACTGCTGGCCACTCGATTCTGACCCATAGGGATCCTCGCTAGACGGCTTCATGGCAGCGATGGCCATAGCTCCCTCCTGGGGAGCAGCTGGTGGCTGCAAACCACCACACTTTGGGCTCGCAGCTGAGCGCTCTAGCATTGTGCCCCAGGACTCCCAAAGGGCACAGGTGCTTTAGTTACTATAAACAAAGGGGGCGTAGCACAACTGATGTTTAACTGGAGTTAAAAATCAAATGTCAAAGAAAGTGAGATGCGATTTAGTACTTAAGGGCAAAAAAAAAAATAAAAAAAAATCCCAGTAGACTATTCTCACGGTGGAATAAAGAGTTAGAGGGTGGTTGGCCGGCTTAACTGCTGAAAACCAAGCTGCAGGTCTTTGGAGTGCAGGACCCTGTTCTGGAGTGCCAGAGCTTAGCAAGTATGTCTGTGACTGGATTGATCGATTGAGTTGTGGATTGAGGGAATGGAAGTCATTTATCTCAGAAGCAGAAACCAGGAGGAGAGGATATACAATGCCACAATTCAAAAAACAAAACAAACAACCAAAAACAACCCTCCATGCACCCTTAATTCTGTGTCCATTGTTCAGTTTATTTCTTTCAACATTTCTCACCTCGCCGCGGCATTTCTCGCACACTCTTCAAGTTGCCCGGCTCCCCAGTGGTGCAAGTTGTAAGCACTCAGCTGTTGGTGGCTCAACCCCCCAGCCACTCCGTGGGAGAAAGATGTGGCAGCCTGCTTCTGTACAGATGACAGCCTGGGAAACTGTGGGGTCAGTGCTCTTCTGCCCCAGAGGGCTGCGTCGGGTCAGAATTGACTTGACGGCAATGGGTTTAGTTCGTGGAGTGCTCCAGATGTCATGCATCTGGCCCGAGACGTCTCATGCATCCACGACAGCGAACTGATGGCTCAAGGTCTTTTCTAGCTGTGTATCAGTTCGGTGACTACAGTTGCGGCTTCTCTTATCTCCACGCCGCCCGTGCCTTGCGAATGAAGGGCGCCGTGTTCCCTCACAGGAGCTGCAGCGAGACATTGAGAAGCACAGCACGGGTGTCGCCTCGGTCCTCAACCTCTGTGAGGTGCTGCTGCACGACTGTGACGCGTGTGCCACGGACGCCGAATGCGACTCCATCCAGCAGGCGACACGAAACCTGGACCGGCGATGGAGGACCATCTGCGCCATGTCGATGGAAAGGAGGCTCAAGTAAGCGGGGGCTTTGCAAGAAGTAGAGACAAGAGCAGCACGGGCGACGCTTTTAGTTACATCGCCCAGTGAGAGTCCTGGTGTCCCCAGCGAGCAGGCTTCCGTCGGCTGGGAAACTAAGCGAGTAAGGCAACGCATAGGTATGCCAGGCTGAGTTAGGGCTGACTTAACGGCTTAGAGAGAATTCAGAGAAATACCAGCAAGTCCTTGGCAGAGGAGTAGACGATGACAGGATTGGGGGGGATGACAGAGGAATCTATTGAAGAGAAATTGTATTGATCTTGAGGTCTCTTGACAAAAACAGTGGTTATAAAAAAAGAGTGATGCATGACAAGATTATTATACTTAAGACCCCAGCCTTGCCTTTTGTGGTAAAGTCTGAAAAAGGTAATGAGGGGGCTTCTAAAACTTCACGGTGAAGGGGCTTAAGTGGAGAGCAAATGTTTTGAGAATGATGAGGGCAATGAATGTACAAAGGTGCTTTGCACAACTGATGTATGTATGGGTTGTGATGAGTTGTATGAGCCCCTAATAAAATGGTTAAAAACAAAACAAAAAAACTTTATGGCGAAATGGAAGTGTGGGCCCTTCCCCAAGTGGGGAAGAGGAGAGGGCAGACAAAGATGAGGCGTAGACCCTGTCGTGCTAAGGCGGTCCTAGTGTCAAAGGTTACCTCAGGAACAGAGCACACTCATCTCTGAAGTAGTGATGGAGTTGAAAATGGCTGTTACTGCCCATCACACATCGTGGGGTGGGGAAGGAGAGGAACCGGCGGTCTTACAGCCCACGATGAAAACGACGGGCCGGGACCACACTCACCGGGAGAAGGTCCATTGAACCCCTGGGTCGTATGCATAGCTGGCGTGGGAACTTTTTTCTACTACAAGTGACACCAAAAGTTTGTTTAGAAAACAAATTTTTTAAAAGATAATGGGCTATTCCCACAACTTTTGGGAACCCTCTCTGGCCTTGTACTTTACTAGGTTGAAGTTTGGCAAGAGTGAGCAGCATGTTGGCCTTACATGGGTTTGTTCCAGCCTCCGTTTTATGTCATCAGAACCTTGGCCTGGGCATGAGCTGGAAACATGGTGCGTCTGCCTGAGCTCCCTCGTACGTGTCCAGGACAGCTCGGATGCTGTGCCTACCATCTTCTCCTTGACTCGTTCCAAGTCCAGGGTTGCGGGACATGTTTCTAGTTGAAAAAAAACAAAACCAGAAAAACAGCTGTTTTCGTTTATCTCAAACAGTTGTCTCTCTTTCTCCCTGGTCAAACGTAGCTCAAGGCACAGCTATTGCTTGGCACAACGGTTGCTGGTTTGGGCACCCTTAATCCTGGTGCAGGCATCAGGCAGTGTTCTGGAGCGCAAACAAGCCCCAAACAATCAAACTCTGTTCCTTCCCTCACGGCCTCAGGATTGAAGAGACATGGCGATTGTGGCAGAAGTTCCTGGATGACTATTCTCGTTTTGAAGATTGGCTGAAGATCTCGGAAAGGACAGCTGCCTTCCCCAGCTCTTCTGGGGTGCTCTACACTGTCGCCAAGGAAGAACTCAAGAAATTCGAGGTGATTTATAATTCCGAGTAACGAATCCTTCTTTCCTCATTAACTGTGAAAGTCGCCAGCTGGCAGCTGTCCTAAGTCATAAACGGACTGTTCATCCCCCACAGTATTCGCTACGACAGCTGAGCGTAGCCATCTTACGATTTCCTCATCAACCGGCCGGAGGAAGGGAGGGAAGGACGTTTTGATTTAAAATGATAAAGAATTACAAATGCGGCCCTGGGTTCAAGGTCGCATTGGGTTTCACCAGGGACCTGATTGTTTTAGGGTTTAACGTTCCCAGTCTCATTTCACCAGGGACCTGATTGTTTTAGGGTTTAACGTTCCCAGTCTCAGACATTTCCCTTCAGAACCGCTGTCTGTACGTAGGTGGCCTTGAAAGTCGCAGCTGCATCACCTTGGGCATGCCCCACCCCCTTTTTATTCACCGCACCTTGGGCATGCCCCACCCCCTTTTTTATGCAACGAAGCATGATTTGTATTTTGCTGAACGGCGTGCTGCGAAGGTAAATAGCAGCCACTTCGGGTGAGAGGGCCTTTCACAAACAGCCCTTTGGCTTTTGTTTTTCTTGATGGACACAGAACCGCTAGTGGATTTGTAGGGAAGGACACATGTCGGGGGAATGTGCATAGAACAGTTTTATGGAGTCGTCCCCCCACCCACCCCCCACCCCCAGGGAGGAGATCAGAAATAGGGCACAAGCTACGCCGAGTTCAGCATACAGGTGAGGACAAACCGCCATTCATCCATTGCTACCCATGACCCACCATGCTCGGGACCACTGGCACCACCCCCGAGACACGGTCGTTCACCATTTTCTCACGGGTATCTTGACCCTGTCCTTGAGTCACCTTGACTAAGTGATTGGGCCCCGGGTGGAAGTAGACTCTTGTTGGACATTGTTGTCTTTCCTGCTGCAATGGTGCAACTTCTATTCTCCTCGACCCTGGCACGAGTCCCTCACGGGCACGTCTCTGTTTGGTCGTAGGCCTTCCAGCGACAGGTCCACGAGAGCCTGACACAGCTGGAACTGATCAACAAGCAGTACCGGCGCCTGGCCCGAGAGAACCGCACGGACTCCACCTGCAGCCTGAAACAGATGGTCCATGATGGCAACCAGCGATGGGACAGCCTGCAGAAGCGGGTCGCCTCTATCCTGCGCAGACTCAAGGTATTTGAGGTGCCTGGTGGTTCACAAGATGGGAGGGGGCCCTTTGTACACAGCATTAGGGAGAGTTCAGTGGTTCTGTAAGGTGGGGATGAATGGGTAGGAAAGAGGGAACCGATTACATGGAACTGTGTGTGACCTCCTCCCTGGGGGACAGACAACCGAAAAGTGGATGAAGGGAAACGTCGGACAGGAGAAGAAATGACAAAATACCCATTTATAAACTATCAAGGGCTCATGCGGGAGGGGGGAGCGGGGAGGGAGGGGAAAAATGAGGACCTAACGTCGGGGGTTTAAATGGAGAGAAAATGTTTTGAGAAACGATGTACAAATGCGCTTTACACAATTGATGTGTGTATGGATAGGGATAACAGTTGTATGAGCCCCTAATAAAATGTTTAAAAAAAAAAAAAAAAAAAGGTAGGGATGATGGTTAGAGTGCGATCCGGGAGATGATCCGGGGAAGGATTGCCGGGTTCTCGCTGCTTGTGGTTTTCTAGAGTTGTCTCAGAAAGGCCTACACCTTCTCGGTATATTGATGTAGGCTCTTTTTGTTATTTTCTTTGCACGGCCAGCATTTCATTGGTCAGCGTGAGGAGTTTGAGACCGCTCGGGACAACATTCTGGTCTGGCTCACAGAGATGGATTTGCAACTCACAAATCTCGAGCATTTTTCCGAATGTGATGTGCAAGCAAAAATAAAACAGCTCAAGGTAACTGATAGATTGTGTTTCAAATCACTCAGCCCCAAGAGAGTCTGAAAAGGACATCACTTATAGATCTTTTTTTTTGTGCAGAGCGTGTTGCAATTCTCTATTATTATTATTATCACTTAATATTACCACAAAAAATTTTTTCAGAAAATATCCTAACTCAAAAAACTCACTGTCATGGTCAATTCTGACAGCGTGACCCTATAGAACAGGGCAGAACTGCCCCTGCCAGTATCCGAGACTGTAACTCTTCCCGAGAGTAGAAAGCCCCATCTTTCTTCCACAGAAGGGCAGCGCGTCTTGAACTGCTGACCCCGAAGATCGCAGCCCAACTCCTTACCACGCCACCAGTGCTCCAAGTGTTGGTGGGGAAATCCCATGCTCTTACAATTCCATTTTTCACAAACTTTTATCTAATAAGTGAAATGTCACCAAGAGCATTTTCCTAACTTCATGAGAAGGAGTTCTGATGGGGGAGTGATTATGGGATGGGCGTTCACCTCAAGGTCCCCATCCTTGAAAAAATCACCAGTTGCTCTGTGGGAGAAAGATGGGGCTTCCTACTCCCATTACAATTATGGTGTCAGAACCTCACAGGGGACGTCTACCCTGTCCTGTAGAGTGGCTATGAGTCGGCATCCACTCAATGACCGTGAGATGCTGCTGCTGAACTGAATGGGAAGGTACACTTCTTGTCATTGTACATGGTAAATAAAATCTCACGAATAGCATTTTTTTCCTGACATAAGAAGACAGTGCCATGTGGTACTCACGCCCAGCCCGTGTGTCCAATAAGAAATGACACGCGATGTGTGCTATGCAGGCTTTCCAGCGGGAGATCTCACTCAACCACAGCAAGATCGAGCAGATCATTGCCCAAGGAGAGCAGCTGATCGAGAAGAGCGAGCCCTTGGACGCAGCCATCATCGAGGAGGAGCTGGACGAGCTCCGTCGCTACTGCCAGGAGGTCTTTGGGCGCGTGGAAAGATACCATCAGAAACTGATTCGCCTGCCTGTACGTATCCCTCTTGTTGGTCGCAGCCAGTGAATTCTGTCCAGACGGGTAGCTTCACACGGCAGGTACGGGTCAGAGTCCAGAGTCCTGTCAATAGAGTGCCTGATGCCAAGCCCCACTCATACATTCGTGGGTTTGGGGACCTTGTGAACGTGACTCTCTTGACTCAGCACCTTCGATAGGATTTCATCACAAGGCCAGTTGCCATGCGCTTGCTTGCAGTCATGGCAACGCCCTTCCTGGTCCGGGTAAAACTGTGCTCTCGTTGTTGGGTGTTTGCTTTTGTTTCCAGCCCTGTATGGTGACTCAGGTGGAGGTGTCCAGGGCACACCGTCAGTTTGGCTGTCAGTGAGACACATACATTCTGTTTTCATCTCATTCAATGTAATCCCTTCCGTGTGGCAGTTCCGTAGGGCTTTCCTGGTGGGCTTTGGAGGAGCAGATGGGTCTTCCTAGAAGACCTCTGGAAGATTCAAACTGCCCATCTTCTGTGTGGCAGCTGAGGTATGTCCTCCACTCGCACCACTCTGGACGCTCTCTCATTTAGCGTCCACACCTCCCACCTAGCGAAGCTCGCTTTGAGTAGCGAGTGAATATATGGAAAGAGGTACGAAGAATTCCAGGCACCTATCTCTTATGAGGGAGCCCTGGGGTCATCTTGGTTACATGATGGGCTGCTAATCTGGAGGGAAGCAGTGCCGGACCACCAGCCATTCCATAGGAGAAAGGTGGGCTCTCTGCCGAGAGCCACAACCTCAGAAACCCACGGGGCAGTCCTACCCTGCCCTGCAGGTTCACCACGAGTCAGTATCAGTGAGTTTCTTTACTTCTTATTGCTTATGGGAGGTGAGGAAGCCTCTGAGAGAAAGCTAGGAGGTGAATGTGAGGGACACTAACAGTCTCTTGATCAGTGAGATCATAGTTAGGCAAACATCTTTTTTTAATGTTTCTCTATTTCGAGTCTGAATTTTCCATATTGGGGCAGATTTTTCACGATCGCTTTCCCCCGTTACATCACCTGTCTGGAAGCGTTATTATTAGTGTGACCATTTGGGGTGGTCACGTACACTTCGTGTGTGTGCGTGGCAGAAGGTGAGGACAGTTGAGGTTTTACAGTGGTGCCGATGGTCATCCCATTGGGCTGCCGGCCCAAAGGCGGGAGATTTAAGCCCCTGGAGAGGTGCCTTGGAAGAAAGATCTAGCCATCTAGGTCCCCAAAGCCAGCCACTGAAAACCCCAAGGAGCACAGTTCTACCAACTCAGGGTACTAGAAGTCAGAATCCCCTCCTCCACAACTGGAGTAAGATTTGATTCGCAAGGGTCTTTCTTGTGCTGCATGCCCTGTGTGCACACAGAGCTACAGGCCCTTCAGTTACCTCCTCTGAGTGATCCATAGGTCAACCCAAGACCAGGATGTAACTTTTCCCAGTACTCCCACCCTGTCAGGGGCAATGCTGAGGCTGGTATACATCCAGGAGTCATACGTAGTAGTGGGGAGAGTCCCATTTATGTTTCCCGTGAAGTTTAATGTGATCCTGACCCAGTGAGACCTGTGGCCCAGACAAGCTTGGACCCTGAGTGGTGGGGGGAAGAGGACCCCCCTCCCCCTGAACACTGGAGTAACAGGGCTGGCTTAAACTGATTCCTAGCTACCTGACGATGAGCAGGACCTCTCTGACCGAGAGCTGGAGCAAGATGATTCTGCGGCCCTCTCGGACCTCTACTGGCGAGACCCGTCAGCAGAAGGTGCCCTTTCCCCCCAGCCCGCCTCCAACCCCTCGCTCTCCCTGGCCCAGCCCCTGCGCAGCGAGAGGTCGGGACGTGACACTCCGGCCAGTGTGGACTCCATCCCCCTGGAGTGGGATCATGACTATGATCTGAGTCGAGACCTGGAGTCAGCCGTGGCCAGAACCCTGCACTCCGAGGAGGAAGAGGGCCAGGAAGACAAGGACTTCTACCTCCGGGGAGCTGTAGGCCTCTCAGGTAGGAAGCCCTCTCCCCAACTCCCTTCCCACCCCCCCTCACAAGGTCATGAACCCTGAAAAGAAATCCATGATCACCCAAAAGCATATAGGCGATTTTCGCTGACTACCTTTCCCGGGCTCCCACAAGGGAGCTGTTGACTATTAATTGATGATCAACTATAACAGGTGGCACATTCATTGATGGATTCCATTGGGAGGATCTCACAGAGCCACTCTATGGATGAAGGGGACCACGGGGGCAGGGGTTGGGGGACAGATGTAGCGTGCCTAGAACTGTGCCTGGCTCCTCAGACACTGGTTACGATTCACAGGAGGAAACGCCTGCCAACAGGTCCAGGAGCACACTCTCCTGAGCCACGCACACCCCTTCTTTCCTGGGAAAGTGCTGAGCCTCCCTGGGACTCGGGGCACCCAGAGCACTCAGCTGTCCTCCACTCAGACGGTGCTCTTTTTACAGATGTAGTGATCCCCGAGAGCCCAGGGGCCTTTGTAAATCTCACAGAAAATGCCATCCGAAATGCCTCTGGTAGGCGCCCCAAGGCGGAGCCAGCCACCCCCCTGCCCTCTCAGCACACCTGCAGCCCTCTACCGCTTGTGGCGCACGCATGACGAGGGACACCTTCCTCTCTTACTGCTTGACCTGGGGGAGGTGGCGGGGGAGGGGAGTGGGGGGGGGGGGGGGGGGGGGGGGGGGGGGGGGGGGGGGAGCAGAGCAGGCTCAGATGTCAATACAGTGAAATGAAAT